GGAGAGCGCGCTAGTGGCGTTCGTCCGGCGTTTGCCCATTGTCACAACCGCAATTTCCGCCATTTCAAGCCGACCTCCACCGACGACCCCCGTGGGACCGATGCACCACTGCGAACAAACACTGCGGCGGTGGTGGCGGTTGTGGTGGTGGCGGGGAAAGCTCACTGCGCTGATTAGAGCGACGGACGTAACTCATCGAAATTACCACAGCGCGCTAACATTGAACAGCACAATCCAATCCGATGAATTAAAATTATTTTACGGCCATCCCCCCCACCCCACCAGAACCGCCCCAACCACCCCATCGTTGTCTTCCCAGTGCTGATGTTTACACACTGCCACCTGGTACTCGTTTCAGGCTGAGCCGACCTAAGGGAGGCCCAGGACCCCAGCGCTGACTATGCTCACCACTCGTGTTAGGCGTGGCCGGGAATTAAACTCAGGTTGCTGTATTGGTGGTGCAGTGTGCAAACCACTGTGTCACCGCTCCGCATACACACACACACTCAGGTATACACGTATCTACAGAGACAAGGATCCCCTGTATAGCCTTAACAGATTGTTGGGGCAAGTTCTGTTAGCGAGCACCTATGAAGGCCGGAACGACACACGAGGAGGTCGGGTGGTCAGCACCACGCCCAGCCACCTTTGTCTCCCTAGTGGCGACATTTACTCACTGGACCACGTACTCATTTGAGTAAGCCGAGTCGACCTAGGGGAGGGCCCAGGGACCGGTTCAGATAATCGTCACTGGGTGTTGGCCGTGAGCGGGAATCAAACTCGGGTCGCCGGATTCGTAGCGCAGCGCGCTAACCTTTACACTACCGCTCCCCACTGTCAAACACACACACAGACACACACACACACACGCGCCTGGCCGGCGACCGACCGCCGACCAGACCCAAACCCTGCCCTCTTGCTCTCTTCCTGCCACGCGAGGCAATTGCACAAGCCTTGAGCAGCGAACACACACTCTCATCAACACAGCCATTGTTCGATGGCAAACACGCAACACCAGGGTCGCGTTTGTACTCTTGACAGCAGCCAGGCGTGTACACACGTGTGCGTGCGTGTGGGAGCGGTTAGCGTGCTGCACTACAAATCTGGCGATTCCCCGCTCACGGCCAACAACCGGTCCCTGGGCCTCCCCCCTAGGTCGACTTCAGCCTCGAATGAGTACCTCGTGCGATGTGTGAACATCGCTACTCGGGAGACAAAGGCGACTGAGCGTGGTTCTCGCCACCTACCCCCTCGTGCACAGTGCCGGCCTTTAAAGGTGCTCGCTAACAGCACTGGCCCCAACAGTCTGGAAAGTCTCTCTCTTCTTACAGCAGCTGGCATGACTGAGAAGGCACGTACACACACACACACGCGCATGCGTGTGTGCTGAGCGTGCATGTAATGGTGTGCGTGCGTGTGTGTGATGCAGTGGTTAGCGCACTGCGCTATGAACCCTGCGACCTGAATTGGATTCACCGCTATAGCCAATATCGGTGGCGAATTACATCACAACTCCCCCAAGTCAACTCCGGCTTAAATAAGTACCTGATGTTGCATGTAAACATCAGTGGTGGGGAGACAAAGGTGACCTGGCATGGTGCTTACTCCACCTCCTATACCATGCCGGCTTTAAATAGGTGTTCGCTAATAGCACTTGCCCCAACAGTCTGTGAAGTGATATATATGGGATCTTTGTCTTTGCATGGGTGTGCAGCACTGTGTATTCTGCATTGGTGAGTACAGTTGTGTATGCGTGTATCCTTCGTGTAGGGTCTGAGAGAGTGTGTGTGTGAGTGTAAGAATGAGCGTGTGTGAGTGTATGTATGTAATTAGATTAGTATATGCAAAGGGCTGGTAACCCCTCCACATTTTCCATGACATTGTCTAAAAACCACGGTGAAAACATCCAAAATATGCTTGTGCCACAGATCCCAAGGGGACAGACACATTAGGCTGCCAATCATCAAAGTCAGTCATTCCACAACACCTCGGTCTGTCCCGTGACCTCCTGCCAGCGAGTTTTCCTCAATTAACGAGACCTCAAGGTACACCTAGCCTGGCACGAGCGCCACGGTGACGTCATCACCACTTAGCGGCAAATGGCGGATGCTGTTTGCATGGAGAGCTCAGGTGCACGTGTGAACACGAGTGCGTTTGTTTGTGCACAGCAATCTGCGAAGAGGCTGAATGCATGAATGGGCATCCATGTGGGTGTTGTGTGTAGTGGTTAGCGCTACGCTGCGCTACGAACCCGGCAGCCTGAGTTTGATTTCCGCTCACGACCGACACCAGTGACGATTATCTGAACTGGCCCTGGGCCTCCCCTAGGTCGACTCAGTCTCAAATGAGTACATGGTGCGTGGCGTAAACATCATCACAGGGAGACAAAGGCAGACGGCCGTGGTGCTGGCCACCCATCCCCTTTGTGCGCCGTTTTGGCCTTCATTGGTGTTCGCTAACAGCACTTGCTCCAACAGTCTGCTAAGGCTATACTGGGGGATCTTTGTATTTGCTTTGTGTGCTAAGGGCAGGGGTAAAATTCCACGTGATGGTTTGGCGCGTCTCCTAAACAACGCCATACGAACGGGCGCCCATTGCTACGGGACTACCATGAGCGAGCAAGACGGCAAGTCCAGAAAAACCGCGGGAAGGCCAGGAGAAGACCTTGATTTTTCCCCGCGTTCTGTTCCGTTGCATTACACCGCATGCTTGCAGTCTTAATCCTGACGGGGCGCGCGGGCCCTTCTAATGTTCCGCCCTCAAAACAGGTTTGCGCTTGAATTCAATGGAAAACTAGAGCGCGGTTTCGTAGTGCGGTCGTTTATTAAGCAAAGTTTGCAGCCACGTGACCCATCAAGCGACAAGACAGCCTGTGACCTGCTTTGAAAGCCACTGTTGGTTGTACCACCCACAACAAATGTAGCGCAGTACGACGTCGCATATCCACCCTGACCAATAAGCCGCTCATCTCACCCAGCGGGCTGCATTGTTTGTGCACCATAGGGGGTAAACAGTCATTCTCTCGAAGACGTTCATTCGCGTCGTCCCTGGGCGACATCTTCACGCACACACGGCACAGTGTTCTCAACCTCGCGAGCTTTCGCTCACTTCTGCAGCACAGCGCAAGCATTTCCCCCCTCCGTGTCACAAGCGGCTTGAGCTCTCCTTGCCCAGTCATCTGCGCATGCACGGCGGCGTACACAGTCAACCAGCGAGTCGGACATGCGACATTTGTAAAGGAAGGGCCTCATGCGACAAAACTATCAGCCATGCACCAGCGCGCGGGGAGTATGCCACGTGTGTGTGTGTGTGTAGCGTCCTGTGAAACTCGCAGGCTGACTGCGTGTGAGCGTGTTGATGTGCCTGCATGTGTGTGTGGCTCCGCGGTTAGCACACTGCGCTACGACACCCTGCGACTGGAGTTCGATTCCCGCTCATGACCAATAAACAGTGGTGAATATTTGAACCGGTCCTGGGCCTCCCCTAGGTCTACTTTGCCTTCAAGGAGTACCTGGTGCGGTGTATAACACACCACCATGGGGAGAGACAAAGACGGCCGGGCATGGTGTTGGCCACCCACCCCCTCGCATGCCAGTGCCAGTCTTCATTGGTGCTTGCCAACAACATTTGTCCCAAGAGTCTGTTAAAGGCTATATGGGGGGTGGTCTTTGAATTTTATTTGTTTGCATAGCCTTGTGGAGATGGGAACAGTAGTGTAGTGGTTAGTGCACTACACTGTGAACCCGGCGACCTGAACTCGATTTCCGGGCCGTGGCTAAACCAGAATGGTACTTATCTGAATGGTCCTGGTTCTCCCCTAGGTCAACTCAGTCTTAAATGAGTAGTTGATGCCTTATGTAAACATCAGCACTGGCCAGGTATGGTTCTGACCGCACCAGCCCATGGTGTGCTATGCCTGCCTCAATAGATGCTCGCAAACAGTGCTTTCCCCAACAGTCTACATGAGCTTCATGGGTGATCTTTGTCTTTGTGCATTGCAATACTGTTATACTCACAGACTGACCTTGTGTGACAGTGGTGTGTGCGCAATTTGTGTGCGTGTGTATCAGTGCTATGCATTTCAAGGGCAGGTTGTACGTGGCAGTGGTTTGTGTGTGCATGTGTACGTGCGAGTGTGAGCGTAGGCTGTATGTAGCTTGTGGTGGTGTTGCTTTAGAACTGCTTTGTGTGTTAAGTTTTGTGTCCTTCCCCGCACATCCGATCAGCACGGTTGGCTACGTACGGTACGAAAGAAGTTCAACATACATATGTGTGTCTGTCTGCAAGGCGTTTCTAGTTTTTTAATTGCGTTGTTTGTCTTGGGGCCCTAAAAATAGATGACCATTGATCACCACCGCCTCCTCCTCCGGGGCAGCGGGTGGGCTTGTTATTTGCGATGTTGGCTTTAAGTGTATTAACTTTAACGGCACATTGTGAACTGGAAAATGCCATGTTTTTGTGTGTATGTTGTCTTGTTGCGAGTAATAAAGTGCACATGTGCTCGCGCGTGTATGTGTGGGTCGAGTCGGCCTCAAATGAGCAGCTGGTGCAGTACGTACACATCACCGCTAGGGAGAGAAAGGCAGCTGAGAGTGGTGCTGGCCACCCACCCTCCTCGTGTGCCGTTATCGGCCTTCATAGGTGCTCGCAAACAGCACTTGCCACAAAAGTCTGTTAAGGCTATACGGGAGATCTTTGTCTTTTGCACGTGTTTGTAGCCAGGAGCGGTGATGCAGTAGTTAGCACACTGCGCTACGAACCCGGCAACCCAAGTTCGATTCCCACGAATGGAAAACACCAGTGACAATTATCTGAACCGGCTCCAAGCCTTCCGTAGAACAGCAGTTGGCAACCTCCAGTTCCGGAGCCGCATGTGGCTCTTTAAGGACTGGTTCGGCACACGGTTGGCTACGTTACGGTGCGAAACAAGCTCAATGTACGTACACACATACATAAGTGAAGGAAAATCGTGGCGAGCGGGCGCGCAGGTGTAAACTCACGGGCTGGCCGGCGGGCGCGCGGAACACGTGGCAGGAGGTGTGCGAGTCGGGGTTGTCGGGCTGCGTGCGCACCAGGTACGCGAAGCTGCCCGGCTGCCGGCTGCAGTGCACGAAGCGGGAGATGTGCGCCGCACGCTGCTCGAAGATGAAGATGGAGCTGTTGCTCTGGCTGCCGGCCGGCACGCACCGCACCAGCGGCGGGCACACGTACAGCATTACCTGCGGGAAGGAAATGACGTTGGTGAGCTGTCAGTTTTCAACGCATCCCCCCCCTACCCCCATAGTGCGTAAACGGTACGCCCGTGCAGATCTAGGATGACTGTTTTTTGTAAACTATTTTTTTTATTTTACCAGGGAAGGCCCACTGAGCTATGAGAATATTTTTCATAAACGACCTGGCCACAAATGATTTCTCAACGAAGTGGATTAGCGTGTGGAAATGTATAGCAGCCAAACACTCTGAACGCGTGATGTTGATTCTAAATGGGGAGGGGAAAACCGGAGGACCTGGGAGAAAAATCCATGCCACCACAAGAACATACAAACTCCTAATATACAGGTGTCAGGGTCGGGATAAAACCCACAACCTCCTGTATACCAGGCGAGGGAGTTAACATCTCGCCAAACAGAGAAACGAACGGTAGCTGTGGGCGTATTTATTATTTAGAGGTTGTAGTGGGTCTCGGTGTGAGTCTGTGGGTCTCAAAGAGAGTGAGCCTATGGGGGCGAGAGGGGAGAGGGTAGGAGAATGTTTGGAGGGGAGTAGAGTGATATGAGAGTGGAGAGGTAGAAGAGTGCGTGGAGGGGAGTAGAGTGAGATGAGAGTGGAGAGGTAGGAGAGTGCATGGAGGGGAGTAAAATGAATTGAGAGGGTAGAGGTAGGAGAGTGTGTGAAGGGGAGTAGAGTGAGATGAGAGTGGAGAGGTAGGAGAGTGTGTGAAGGGGAGTAGAGTGAGATGAGAGTGGAGAGGTAGGAGAGTGTGTGAAGGGGAGTAGAGTGAGATGAGAGTGGAGAGGTAGGAGAGTGCATGGAGGGGAGTAGAATGAATTGAGAGGGGAGAGGTCAGCAGGTTGGTGGAGATGGTGGAGATGGAGGCGTGAGATCCTACAGACGTGAGACACGTGCGATGAGCTCAGGACCATTTTTAACCTCCACCACAGTTCACCACACTTCTGCTCTACACTCCCTAATACAATGGCTCCCTGTCTACTTTCGCTGCGTGTTAAAATTTCTCACGCTCGTCTATAAATACCTCCATGGTCTTACCCCATCTTATCTTGCTTCTTTCATATCTTACGATGTCCCATTCTGTCCTCTACACTGCCAAACTCTACTGTCCCTCTCTGTGCCTCCAAGGTTTTGCACGCCCTTTGCCAGTGCAATGCTATCGTCCAGCCATCGCACACACAAACTGGAGTCTTTGCTGAGAGTGAACTTTTTCCCTCTGTACGTATAAGGCTGGAGAAGGGCAGGAAAAAGGTAGGTGGCAGGGAAAGAGAAGGCGGGGGTGGTGGGGTCATACAAATATTGATGCCCTTGCCCGTACTGTAACATGAACATGAATCCATGTTACCAGGTGGCCATGTAGCGTGGGCTCTGGTCTGTGTTGGCATTCGCAGTGTAGCGATGAGCGCACTTGCAGAATGCTTGTGCACAGCAGCGGCGGTGTGTGTGATAACGTCCTATGGGTTTACAAAGCCAACACAGACCGACTAAAATTCTTCCTCTTCTTCCTCCTCCTCCTCGTACTTTGCCCACTAATGCAGAGTGTGCCTTCCTGTTCATCCTTCTCCACTAACTCCTGTCCTGGTCCACAACCTCCATGGTCCACCATCCTCCACATCCCGGTTCGCCTATTCAATCCACCTCTACCTAGACTTGCCTCTCGGTCTACAGCCTCGTGCTGCCACGTTCACGACCTTCGTTCATCAAAAGGCGGTTTTTCTATCTGCCTCCCGCCTGAGTCGTCTTCTCTCAGCTTGTCTGAGATGGGCATCACTCTTGCCTTGTTCCATATCTAGATATTTCTGATCCAAAACAAAAACATTGTCTAAAATTCTAATTCGAATTACCAGAGTTGCCCAGGTTACCCAGCAGGTTGGATCGCTGAGCACTGCTGAGATCCTGGGATCGAATTCTGGTTTTGGCCCATTCGTGATTAAAACCAGGTTCTAAAAGTGTCTTGAGTTGATTGTCTCAGTCCGATCACGAATAACTGCAGAAAAAAGATCTACCGTATTAAGTTGGGTTTTAAATACGGAAACATTCAATTACACTGAGAAAATCCTCTCCAGTTTAACTGTTATGTGATGACCATCTCAACATAGCTCAGTGCGTGCAAAAGTTGCCGGGCCAATCATGTGGATTTAATGTCATTCCAGAACACGGGCTGTTCTGGAATGCACAAAGGGCGATGCACCACTCTGCTTGAGTTCCAAATGGACGTTTTTCATTTCACGACACGATGCAGATAGGAGTTAGAACATAATTTGGGGTGAAAAAAAGACACTAATTTTTTTTTTAAAACCAGATCTCTAATGAACTGTAGCAATGGAATTCTACGTATGGCAGGCATGACTTTCATGAGACATAATACTGGTAGGAACCTTCTGGTTACACCAGCCCACAGGGGATTATTGTGTCCGTCCAGTCCATCGTGCAGGGAGGGGCTGGGTGGGGAGGGGAGGGTGGGGAGGCGCTGGGTGGGGAGGGTGGGGAGGGGCTGGGTGGGGAGGGGTGGGAGGGGTGGGGCTGGGTGGGGAGGGGCTGGTCACCCCGTGGTGCCCTTAAAAAACTCCACGTTTAACCTACTCACGCCGGCTTGTGCCCGCCCTGACAGTCGGGCATATTTGCGGAATACACCACGCCGCTGTTGACCCTGGCCATTGACCGAGCAACCCAACGTTCCTACCAGCTCCCTCCGCAGGAATGTGTTGTATAACAACGCCCTTGTGCAATCCAGCATGTGTGTGTGTATGCTAATGAACAGACCGAGTTGGACACTCGGTAAGTAATGGGTCCATTATGACAGCTGTGAATGAATCTACAACCTCCCAGAGTGAACAGGAGCATATACAGGGAATGCTCATGTATCGATATGCGAGTTAATATATTTTCCCGTGAATTCCACTCCTTGATTCCTCCACCCATGTTGAGGACTCTACCAGATTGATTGTATCAGCTCATCAAGTGTGTTCAACCACCACTCACCCTCCCACTCTCCCACTCGCCCACTCACTGATTGATTCACTCACTCACCCTCCCACTCAACCGCCACGCTGCAGCTCACAGTACATCTCTTTCTGCTTCTTCCCTACCACCGCTCGACTGCAATTCCCTCCAAACGTCTCTTTTTGCACGTTTTTACAACCTTGCTCAATTCAATAAACGTATTCATTTGCATCAGCTACACCGTCAATAGTGCTGCCTGATGCTGACCTGAACTGCCACACCGCAAACCAAGCCGACAACATCTGACAGTCCCAGGCATAGCTTCCCATTCAAACGCTGCACAAGTTTTTTTTTCAAGTCTCATTTATTAGGTATAGCCCTGTGAGCCATTCGGCTCTTGAACCGGGTGCAACCGCAACAACAAAAAACAAAAACATGAACAAACAAACATCTTAAAGTGAATATGTGACTGAGTGCAAACAGAAAATCCAAGTAAGCTGAGGCTCTACCCCCCGCTCACTGCACATGTTTCGCCCTCGTGCTCACGCCTCTCCGCTGTGTTTTCTGGCCGTGTGCGAGGCGGCCCTCACACGGATGATGTCTCATCAATGAAAGTGGTCCCCTCCTCTGACAATTAGAGAAGAGCACTGCCCTATTGCCTCAGCAGACCGTTTGGGGTCAAGTGTTGTTAGCGAGTGGCTACTTCTTCTTTCGTATGACTGATGTAGATGCAGAACAACAACTACAATTTCACATTCAGGGGGTGAAGGCAGATAATCGTGTCAGGAGCAGTGCAGTGTATCGCTGTGATGTCTCCTTCGTATTTGTGGATTGGGCATTGCGCCACTGTATGCTGTACGGTCTGTACTGGATGACCACAGTCGCACAATGCAGAGTTGTTATTTTTCCACTTGTGCATCAGGTATCCGAATCTGCCATGGTTTGTAAGGATGCTGTTTAGCGTGGACCATGAGCTTTGTGGAAGATCAAAACCAGGGATTTTCTGCGTTGGGTCTTTCACAAGCTGTTTGTTTGCGAGTTCCTTTGAACTCCAGCTCTCCAAGCGTCACTGGGGTTGAACTCACATCCTTGCGTGCCGATCGGCATGGAGCAGCGATTGAATTAGGTTCGTAAAACGAAATCTCGCAGCACGTGTGGAGAAAAACCGAAATTGAGTTTGCCCAAGAAGCTCCGAGCACAGAGTCTTGTCTTTTCGCTACACGTGCTGGGCACTTCTACAGGAGTTAAAACGTCGGACCTCATGTCGGACAACAACATGGTACATAATCCAAGTACACACGCGAGAGCTGTCCAGGCGCAAACCCGCTTAACTTTCCGAGATCCGATTATATTGAGCGAGCAAGGGGCGCTTTCATCCCAGCTAGGCTTGCTGCGATATGTTTGCAATTATTATAAGACTCAGGCTTATGTTTAGTGAATCGCAGTTGACGATCTCTTAATAATTTGTATGGACAATGGAAGTACAGTAATGCACCAAAAGTAATACAATAGTACTAAACATAAAGCTACATGACACTGACATCCCGATGATCGTGGACATTAAAATTGAATGGCGAAAATCTATATTGTGGCAATCGAGGTCATAGGTCATGTGGTGGTTGGCTCCCCAGGGGTGAAATGTGCGCCCATCAGAACAGCTGAGGGTCACGTGTTTTCAACGGCTGGCACTGACAGAGCAGGGTAACACAGACACACGCTCTGATACAGCGGTTGGAATTGGCAGTGGGATACTTTTTCGGACATTATCTCATTACTCAGGGACGTGAGTGGTGGGTGGCGTGGTTAGTGCCCTTTGCTATTCGAACCCAGTGAACTGGGTTCGATTTCTGACACGCTCTGATCTGGCGGTTAAAAGTTCGCGGTCGTATTTTTATTTGAACAAAAGCCTGTACACGTGATTAAAAGCCTTTGACCAAATCATGCGAAATACACCCGATCCCGTCAAACCTCATGAGCAAGCTAAGCCGGGTAGGGGCCTGGATAATGCTTGGCTTGGCGACCACCCTGCACAATAACACGGTGTTATGTTTATTTTTCCGCGAGTCTACGTTGTGGGCATTGCGGCAAAAATCCATTGTTGCAAGGCCCTGTACTTTAACGCTCCTACCGTCTACGCCTCCCCCGCCTTCACAGACCTGCAATGACCGACGTGGTAAATTACAAGTTGTCAAATAAACCTCGCTGCACGCACGACGTGGATTAGATAGGAGGCCACTCATCTAGTAGCGGATCAATCAAGGGGGCTGTAGATGGACCACATGCAGTACGTAGAACTGGAGGTTCAGTGCAACCTCTTGTCCCGTTGCTCAATGAGCTTTGACGTGAAGCCACGCATGCCTTAGTTTGTCTCTCCGGGCCAAATGCGGTTACACCGAAATGCTGTGAAGTTTTACACTTTTAAAAGTCCTGTCCTGGCAATGGAGGATGCTAAAAATCATGGGTGGGGAACCTTTCCTTTAAAGAGGACTCGAACCACCAGACTGACGGTTTCGTCTCGCTCACCGTGAGTTCAACCACCGTACGGCAGGTCGCAACAACACACACACTCACCCGCTCACTCACCACACTGCAGGTCACAACACGTTCACTCACCCATCCGTTCACTCCACTTGCAGTTCAACTTTAGAATTCCCTCCCATCACCACCTCTTTTCCTAAAGTCCTGAAAATAACCAAGCTCAATTCAAGTTATGTACGGACTCCTAACTATTACATCTTCAACATCTGCTGTTTGTCGCCGGCTCTATCGTTTTTTGGGCCTGTGCTCAGTGATTTTTTTTCCAAACAGGACTTCCAAGTACTTTGTGCAGCGCAATACATAAACACACAGACGTACACCTTAACAGTTGCGTCACCGCAAGAGGCTCGTGGAGTGACACCGCAGAAGTGCCCGAGTGACGAAACCAGAAACACTGTGTCCTTTTCCACGTCCAAAATACCCCCCCACCTCACCGCTCTGGCACCTGATTATAGTTCGACTAAGATGGTAGCAGTGATATACTGTATACACAACAACACAACCTCAAGGCATTCGTCAATAACGCTATGGCAGTAAAAAGAAAAAAATATATAACAGGCAACGATTCGGGCAATGTCCCTTCTGCACAGAGGTAGTGATGTATGTACGTATGTCGTTTGTGGGCGAGGCCGCTGGCTGTGTGAATTGAAGTCGCGGGTTGCATTTGGCCCTTGTGCTTAGCCTCCTCCTCACCCTTGCTGCAAAGCAGAACGTCGCATATCCGACCGTCCAATATCCACCCTGAGCAATTATCCACCCACACACCCAGCGTGCACGGCGGTTGTGTAACAGTCATTTAAAAATATATATATAGATTTTCGCAATTATGGACTATACACACTAGTTAATGTTCTTAATCTCACGTACATTCCCTTACTTCTGAAACAAAATAAAGCATTCTCATTTCTTTAAAGAAGTTTATGCTTTACTTTGGACGGTCATGCATTTTATGTGATTTTTATAGCTGTCATTATATACAGATGTTCACACATCGGACCTTTTCACATAACCCCACCTATAACCTAGCTCAACCGGCCAATCTCATTAGATGTTTTACTGTACTTGTACATGAATTGAGCAGCAGCTAAAAAAATATTTATCCAAGTCTTTAAATCCAGCCGCTGTATCTCACCCGCGCACTCGTTTACACGGACAATGATAAGACTGCACAGAGACCCATAGATCCACACAGAGACCCGTAGACTCACACAGAGACCCATAGACCCACACAGAGACACGTAGACTCACACAGAGACCCATAGACCCACACAGAGACCCGTAGACTCACAGAGGACACATATAGACTCACACAGTGACGTAAAGACTCACACCGAGACCCATAGCCTTGCTAAGACCTATAGAAACCCATAGGCTAACAGAGATCCAGACGTGCACTGAAACTCTATGGCTCACAGACAGATCCAAAAGCTCACTTCAGAGACACACATTCTCACGTAGAAACCTCACAGATTCACACACAAGAGACTCGTATAGGTCGCCGATGCTTTTCCACATTTTCTTGCTGTGTGCCACATTCACATTTGGGGGCGTGATTGTTGTTTTCTTGTTGCTATTTGTGGAAAAGGTGACGAGCAACTTGCCTATGGCCAGTTCGGCACATGCGACGTTCAGGGGAAGGAGGAGGAGTGGGGCAGTGAGCTTGAAACTCGAAAAGGTCAATAGACGAAAACGTGGCTCTCGTTGGCGCAAACTGGTTACAGTGACCATGGACTTGAGTTAAGTTTAGGGTCGCAGTGGAGCAATAAGGTCGGAGTGGGGGGGGTACGGCTGGAATGTGTCGATTATGTTCGAGTTGCGGTGAAATTTCCGCTCAATATTAACACAGCCGAAGAGTGGTGGTTTGATGGGTCTCCATCTGGTTGACGGGTGAATTTTAGTTTTTTTTTAAACTTCACGATGATGATACATTAATTGAGCAGCAGCTAAAAAAATATTTGTCCAAGTCTTTAAATCCAGCCGAGGTATCCCACCCGCGCACTCGTTTACACGGACAATGATAAGACTGCACAGAGACCCAAAGACCCACAAAGAGACCCGTAGACTCACAGAGGACACATATGGACTCACACAGTGACGTAAAGACTCACACCGAGACCCATAGACCCCACCGTTTCAGCCGGAGATTTTACACGGGAGATCCGTGGCTTGGGTGATCACAGCAGCAATACAAAGACAAAATAAACCCCCACCCCCATCAATATTGCAGAGAGAATCACAGGGGGGGGGGGGGTCCCTTAAGGAATACTGCCACAACTCACGAATTATCACAGTCCTACAATACAGTAGAGCAAAAGTTGGATTTACATTGCCTCTTAAATGAGACCGCATCTCAAGGCGCTGTGCTGAAAACAGGAGGCATGTTTATTTTATTGAGGCTGTCACTGAAACTGCAAACTTATATATATATAATCCATGCACTGTATCTACATCGAGACACAATGAGTGACCTAAAAAACACACACACACACATTTAAAGACGTAAGGACGTTTAAAGTAATCCGACTCGCACAGAGACGTCTAAGAATCACACAGACAAACCTCCGTACTTGCACTTTGATAATCGTATGCAGTAGAATGTGTTTAAGATAGTCTCGAGAATGCGACCACATATCAAGACGCCGAACAGCGAGCAAGTGACAGGCAAGGCATGAATGGGCGCAGGAGTAAATACAGCAGAGGTGGCTGGAGGAAAGGGAGGTTCAGACGAATGATGCTTGATGAGTGAAGATTAAGTGCATGCATTTGCTTAGCTGGTGGGGTGACCGATTCGTGTTCAGTGTTGTACCTTACTGCTGCTACAAGACTCATGCCTCTTGCTCAAGATCCCACGTGGACCTCTCTCTCTGTGTGTGCGTCAAGTGCTGTGCACATCAAACACAATCTCTCTGTCACTACACACCACACCACACAAAGTTACCTCTCGCTCGATCTGCTCCTTCTCCGAGCGTCTCAGCAGCTCGGCCACGATCCAGGGCAGCATGGAGAGCGTGGCCCTCTGGTCCAGGGCAGTGCTGCCCAGGTAGGCGAGGCTGAAGGCGCGCTCGGCCACGCAGCTGACCGCCTTGCTGCTCGTCGATGGGTGACTCTCTACATCCACCACATCGGCCATACTTCCTCACCGCTGCCACACACGTGTGATGCCCTTCCACCTCGGCACCCGCTGATGACAGCGGCTGTGGCTGCCCAGGTCACAGAGCTGCCATGCTTGGGTCCGGAGCGTGTCACGTCTCTCTATCTCTCTCTCTCTCTACCAGGCAAGGCAGGAGGAGGAGGGAGACTTGCAGGCAGGCAATGGCAGTGAGGTGTGTAGTAAGTAGCCAGGCGGCGGTGCAGTCAGGCGGGCGAGACGTGCAGAGGAGAGTCGGGCCGGTGAGTGGTCAAGCCACGAGGGCAGGTAAGTAGATGGGCAGAGGGGGGACAGGACGGTCGGGTGAGTAAACAGGGGGGCAAGGTAGCTGGGTAGTTTGGGCAGTAGGTCATCGGGCTGTTAGACGGAGCAGGCAGGAGGGCAGAGCGCGTCCCGTCGGAGTGAGGAGCTGCCCGCGACCGGTGACCGCCTGTCCGCCTCGCTACCTCCTCTGGCTCTGACTGAGTCCCCTCCGTGCAGCCCCGAGTGACGACCCCCCCCCCCACTGCTACACTCCGCTCCGTGTTCCCAGGTCCTCACTGCTCCACTCCACCGATTCCACTCCGCCCAAGTGAGGACAGATCCCCCAATGCTGCACTCCGCTCCGTGTTCCTCACAGTTCTTTACTCCGCTCCGTGTTCACAGGTCCCCACTGCTCCACTCCACCGATTCCACTCCGCCCAAGTGAGGACAGATCCCCCAATGCTGCACTCCGCTCCGTGTTCCACTCAGGTCTTTATTCCGCTCCGTGTGACCCAGGTCTCCCACTGCTCCACTCCGTGTCCCAGGTCTCCCACTGCTCCACTCCACTCCGTGTTCCCAGGTCTTCACTCCGCTCCGTGTTACCCAGTTCCTCACTGTTTCACTCCGCTCAGTGTACCCAGGTCCCCCACCTCTCCACACCGCTCCGTGTTTCCCAAAACCCCACCCCGCTCCACTCCGCTCCGTGTTCTCAGGACCCTACTGCTCAACTCCGCCCCGCGTTTCCCAGATCCCCCACCGCTTCACGTTCCCAGGTCCCCACTGTTTCACTCCGCTCCGTGTCTCCCAGGTCCCTACTGCTCAATTCCGCCCCGTGTTTTCCAGTTCCCCCACCGTTTCATGTACCCAGGTCCCCACCGCTCCACTCCGTGTTTCCCAGGTCTCCCACCGCTCCACACCGCTCCGCGTGCTTTCCACGCGCCTCTGGTAAGCGGCGTGATGCGCACGGCGGCCATCTTACGTAGGGGGAGGCGTGCGTGACCTGAACGAGCGCGCCACTCGAGTGAATTGTATGGTGCAAAAAATAAATCACAAAATACGTTCGTCAATGATTAGGGACATTTCCTTACCGTATAGAATGATGATTAAAAAAAAATTGGTCATCGGGAAAATTTAAAAAAATGTTAAACTCTCGTTCGACTCCACGGTGTAAACAAAATCCAGCCTCCGACTTATTCTCCACTTTATTTCTTTTTGGCCGGTCTATTTACGTCCCACGAATAAGGTCCATTGCCCGAAACGTCGTACCTTTTGTTCATATCTCTTTTCAAGGCAGGGTCCGAGTGCTCGTGACGGAGCCCTCGAGTTATAGAGTTTCTAAACCCTCCTGTGACGTCACACGCCGGGGGGTGTGACCCCCCCCTACCTAAGATGGCCGCGACGCGCACAGCCACGCCGGGGGAGGCGCGTCCAGCTCGAACGCCATTGGCTCACGCTCACCCACGTGACCGCCGCCGAAGCCTCGCCTTGTACGCGCGAGGAAATGCAAAATTCTCTGTGTCTATCTTGTGTCTCTCTGTGTGTGTGTTGTGTCTCTCCCTATGTGTCTGTATGTGTGTCTCTGTGTGTGTGTGTCTATGTTGTGTGTGTCTATGTTGTGTGTCTCTCGCTGTGTGTGTCTGTGTTGTGTCTCTGTCTGTGTCTCTCTCTGCTTGTGTGTCTGTGTTGTGTCTCTCTGTGTGTGTCTCTGTTGTGTCTCTGTGTGTGTGTCTCTGTGTGTCTCTCTCTGTGTGTCTCTCTGTTGTGTGTCTCTCTCTGTGTGTTTATGTTGTGTGTCTCTCTCTGTGTCTGTGTTGTGTCTCTATCTCTATGCTGTGTGTCTCTGTATGTGTCTCTGTTGTGTCTCTCTCTGTGTGTGTTTGTGTGTCTGTGTTGTGTGTCTCTGTGTCTGTGTGTCTCTCTGTGTCTGTGTTGTGTGTGTCTCTCTGTGTGTGTCTCTGTGTTGTGTGTCTCTCTCTGTGTCTCTGTGTTGTGTGTGTCTCTCTCTGTATGTCTATGTTGTGTCTCTCTCTGTGTGTGTTTGTGTGTCTGTGTTGTGTGTCTCTGTGTCTGTCTGTGTGTCTCTCTGTGTCTGTGTTGTGTGTGTCTCTCTCTGTGTGTCTCTGTGTTGTGTGTCTCTCTCTGTGTGTCTCTCTCTGTGTCTCTGTGTTGTGTGTCTCTCTCTGTATGTCTATGTTGTGTCTCTCTCTGTGTGTCTATGTTGTGTCTCTGTGTGTGTCTATGTTGTGTGTCTCTCTCTGCTTGTGTGTGTGTCTGTGTGTCTCCGTGTCTGTGTTTTGTCTCTCACATTGTTTGTATTGCAATCGAAACGTCGTACTCTTATTATTTAACTTATTTTCTTTCTACGTTACTTTACCGAAAGAACCAAAGAGTATGCTTGGATCTTTCGGTAAAGTCACGTAGAAGGGAAGTAATAAAATAAAAATAATGAAGCATACTATTAGGTTTTGTATTCTATTAATATAATTGTATTCTTTTATTATTTCCCTTCTACGTGACTTTACCGAAAGATCCAAGAATATGAATCCCTACAGTCACGAAAGCTTCAAATCAAGTTTAAATGCAAGAGTGTTTAAACACGCAACAGTGGGGCTTTAGCGGCCAAATGTTCTCTTTAATAGGGGTGGGTTTTTGTTCTTTGGTGGGGTATAAGATCGCGTAAATATAAATGTGTGGCGTTAAGCCCACCACCACCGACCACCCAATGTAGTAAGATGTGTCACGTCAACACAACGTGTCAATTAGCTGCTGGTACAGCAGCAACGCCGATGTGTTGCAGAGTAAACCCACAAACATTACGAATTGGCGGGTTTAGCGACACGTTTATATTTACACGATCTAACATCCGCCCCCCTGCCCTCCCCTAAAAAAATTAACCTCTATTATGGCAAATACAAAACATCCCCAACCCTTATAATCAGTTTGCCTGTAGAGGCTGACTCCTTTGCCTGATGACGACCGCGCCTGTGTTGCGATCGAAACGTCGTGATTTGTTTTAATTGATTTTTCTACCTACGTGACTTTACCGAAAGAACCAAAGAGTATGGATTCCTGCAGTCACGAAAGCTTCAAATCAAGATAATACCAAGACAATTAACACATTCCTGCGGAGGGAGCTGGTAGGAACGTTGGGTTGCTCGGTCAATGGCCAGGGTCAACGGCGGCGTGGTGTATTCCGCAAATATGCCCGACTGTGAGGGCGGGCACAAGCCGGCGTGAGTAGGTTAAACGTTGAGTTTTATAAGGGCACCACGGGGTGACCAGCCCCTCCCCACCCAGCTCCACCCCTCCCACCCCCACCTCCCACCCAGCCCCACCCTCCCCACCCAGCCCCTCCCCACCCTCCCCTCCACACCCAGCCCAGCCCCACCCCTCCCACCTCCCACCCAGCCCCACCCTCCCCACCCAGCCCCTCCCCCCACCCTCCCCTCCACACCCAGCCCAGCCCCACCCCTCCCACCTCCCACCCAGCCCCACCCTCCCCACCCAGCCCCTCCCCACCCTCCCCACCCACCCCACCCAACACCACCCCTCCCTCCCACCCCCCACCCAGCCCCACCCTCCCCACCCTCCCCACCCTCCCCTCTCCACCCCTCTCATTTTTGGATGCACGACGGACGGACGGACACAATAATCCCCTGTGGGCTGGTGTAACCAGGAGGTTCCTACCAGTATTAAACTTGATGGATGTGATGTTGAACTTTTTTCGCACGGTTCGTAGCCAACCGTGCACAATCGGAGTTCTCGGGGGAAGGACAACAAACTCAACACAAAAAGCAGTCCTAAACAAATTCGTTTTCAGTCTAGATGATTTAAAAGAGGAAATGTCTCGGTGGCAACCTAATATCGGAAGGAAGAACGTTCCAGACGGCCGCAGATGCGCATCTAGACCAATTGAGCGTTGTCAAGCTCGCGTTCTAAAAACTAAACACAATTCACCGGCAAAACCGTTAATACCGATCATAAACATGTAATCATGCAATTTACCCGCAGGATCGTTCATTTTAAGAGATAAGTACTACTCTAAGTGGCCGATAACGGGGAGTTTTCACTGCATTAGGCAGGGCTGTAACTCTTCGCCAACGTTATCATTCATCTTCATCCAGCAGTGGACCGATCATGGCTGATGGAGATAATTGGGGTACATTGTTGCAATACGGGCTTTGGTCGAGCTTCGGATTCGAGGAGAATCAATGTTCATTTGGTTTTCCTATTTGGTGAATGTAGCATCCTCTAGTGGCAGCACGTGGTAATTGAAACCGTGAGTACATACACAATGGAGGTAAGTGTACGTATTGTATATCAAAATACAATACTGTGGAGTCATCAATTCCTGTCCTCACTATTAGATAAATTACCGTATATGCGAATAATTTTAAACGAGTATTAGTGAATATGAGACCCAAACTGCTAATGTACTCGCACCCACAATGAAACTGCATTTGCGATTTTAAGAAAATAAATTCCATATTAGTATAATATTATCTTCGTTCAAAGCGAAACTTGAATTTAAACAATACACACGCAGCCATTGTTAGGACTTACACAAGAACACACGAAAACTGTGCACGCATTTTTTTTGTGTTAAACAGGCTCTCGTGACTTTACCGAAAGAATCAAAGAGTATGGATTCCTGCAGTCACGAAAGCTTCTAATCAAGATTAGGCTCCCGTTATTTAGATGGAGTGCTCTTGCCAATAGCATCTGTTAACCCAAGCAGTAATTATTTAACAAGCCTGACCCTGTCGATGACACGCAGAATGTTGATACCGTTGCAGGGTTTGCTAACTTCAACACACCTGCTTGAACAATATTGCTATGGAAAGCCAGTGCAATATTAAGTTGGCACAGTGGTAACACTCGTGCGGACCTCACACCAATAAGCACCTGGGTTAGACTCCCGATTTGGATACCTATTTTTGCAGTTTGCACGTTTTGACCCTGTTCTTCACCGGTTTCCTTTGTGTTCTCTGGTGTCCTACCATATGTAAACAAAACATAATGTCATTGGTGTGGTCCAAATAACTTAATGTAGCAGGACCCTCATGAAAATTAGTCTTCGGACTCAGTTTAGCTTGCCTGGGTAAATCTGGAATTGTATATGTTGAGACAGAACGTAGTTATGTTCATATACTGAAACTGCTGCTTTGTTTTACAATTTCTAGAAATGTCTGTGTCGCCACCTGCTGATTAGTCTAGAGCAGGGGTCGGCAACCAAAATAACAAGAAGAGCCATTTCTTTCCAATTCGGTACAAAATTCAGTATTTCAAGAGCCGCAATGCATCTGAGTACATACTGTACATATCGTCAAGAAGCAGCCTGTAAAGAGCCGCATGCGGCTCCGGAGCCGTAGGTTGCCGACCCCTGGTCTAGAGCATTTCAAGTGTTCAACAAAGCCTCCCGGCTATTAGATGAACTATGGGAATCTTCAATAATTTTCCTTTTAACAAAGAAAATGTGTGGACGTAATTGAACCCATTAAATGGTTTTGTATAACTGCACACTGGTCAATTTGTTTTAAAATGGTTCTGACAAGCATTGTCTCGTATTTAAGCAGTTGAACGAAAATGGACAGATAACCTTATGACATTGGTGTATGTAATTGTATTCAGAAATAACAAAAATACCCACATTCTTCAATAACACTGTGGCCTTCAATGAAAAGATTAGGCAACGGTGTTCGGCAATTGCCAAAATTGGCCCAACGGTTCTAACCACATGCCACGCAAGGGAGACAACATAATTTTGTTGTCCAATTTCACAACAGTCGCCACTCGCCACGAAGTGGTGGCGATGTGCACTTTACACACACTCTTTAAGTGAAACAGCAACCCTGAAATGACACTCAGGGTTAGCTAACTACTTGAACTTGCTTGAGTTAAGTGTGGGATTAAATTGTGGAAAAACATACACTCTAGATTTGAAGCTTTCGTGACTGCAAGGATTCATACTTTGAGGTTTTTTTTCGGTAAAGTTACGTAGGTAAAAATGAAAAATACAAATAAAAATAAAATAATAATAATAAATGCAAAAAATGAAATAAATCAATGAAACCACGTCGTGAAAAGAAATAAATTAAATCACGTCGTGATTTAATTGATGTATTTTCATTTATTATTATTTTTTACCTACGTGACTTTACCGAAAAAACCTAAGAGTATGAAAAACATACACTTCACGTACAATTATCGTCAATCATGATCCATCCACTGCTGGATGAAAGCCTGTCCATGCCGTGGCCATCTCTCACCGTCTTGTAATCCATATAAGTCACACACACAACCAACAATCTCTGCCACAGCTACTATGAATGCCATAACGAAGCTCCGTTATTTCTGAGGCTGTCTATACGGGCACGTTACACGCGTCAGTGACTGGATTTGTTGGTACTGTTGTTTTATTTATATGTCGGCATTATTTTTCGTGTAAATAATTCGTTGTTTTTGCTCAATGTCCAGTAAATTGCTGCCACTGTCAAGATAGTCTTGGGCTGTCTTCGTCCACGTAAACAGAGCTGCTTAGCTCAGTGGAGCCCTTACCAGCTGCAATACAATCGTGAGTCAAATTTCATTGCTCCGTCTCCACAATGGTGGTATTTTCGCGTGTGTTTATTACTCCTTTGACTTTCACTCCATCCTTAGTCTCGACCACCGTCCATCATCCACCCATCCGTTCTCGCCATGACGTTACTTCTCAAATTCGTGGTTTTCATTTTGCTTTCTCTCGTAACTCCAAGCATCCACCGCCTCTTTACGTTCTAAAAACGACAAAAAGTTTTTTTTTCCAGGTAAGGCCAACCGAGCTATGTAGCTCCTTATCAGAAGCTCAATGAAATGGCTTATCGCGTGGAAATCTATAACAGCAGCCACATGCTCCAAACGCAAGTTTGATTAATTAAACTTTCCACTTTTCAAAATGGGACCTTTTTGCCAGTATCAAAGTATGAAAATGATAATTGCTATTTACCCTTTCTGGCAAAAAAACAGGTGTTAAGATGTTCAAATGTCAAAAACAAGGTTTTTATTTGGCATTTGAACATATTAACACATGCTTTATTGCCAGAAAGGGTAAAAACTATTCCATTTTTTTTTCATATTTCCACTTTTCGTTTCACATCCGTCCCTGTCCATATTACTGTGCCATGTCACAGCAGGTAACCCAGCAAACAGGCGCCGTTGGCAATCTCCTCGAACCGATCTGTTTGATGCAATTAATCGATGCAGACGATTATTTCATCGATTTAATCGATTAATCGATTAACGCTGACACCCCCCACCTCCCAACCCTCCAACGTTGCAGGCAGGAGCGTCACCCCCCTTCCCCCCTCCCTCCCCCCTCCCCTTGACCACGGGAGGAGGCAATGGCGGAGCAGACGGCCGAGCGCATCAACTCGGCACGGGAGACGCTGGACAGTAGGAGTCCCACGTACCCCCCTCCTCGGGCATCTTCCTTCCTCGTATCCCCTCGTCACCGGGACCCCTAAAGAACCCCCTTTGCCCCCTACCCCCCTTTCCTATCCCGCTGAGACCACCACCCCCGTGATCTCTCGTTGTAGGCCTCAGACCACGGGCTCGCCTAACGCGCGGCCGGGTTGCGAGGCGCCTAGGGCGGCCTGGGGCTGGAAGCACGCGAGGCCGAGGGCTTCGCGGCTCCACGACTCCCTGGCGGATGTTGTAATAATTGTACAAGTACAATCTAGATTTGAAGCTTTCGTGACTGCAATAATCCATACTCTTTGGTTATTTCGGTAAAGTTACGTAGGTATAAAATAAAATAAATCACGACGTTTCGAAAACAAACACAAGCGGTCGTCCTCCGGCGGAAAAAAATATAATCCAGCAGTGAAACTGCTGGATTATATACCTACGTGACTTTACCGAAAGAACCAAAGAGTAATTGTACAAGTATATTGTGCAATTTGTATAGCGGGTTTGATCGTAGGTCAGAACGCTGCGTGGAAGTAATGGATGTGTTTATTTTAGAGACCACCGTTCTCTCCATGTTGAAGGCTGCATCATTGGTCTCTGTGTACCGTCGCTATGCTGAGAAACGGTGGGGGATGTTTGTTTTGTGGCGAGGCAGTCGTAGGCAGAGTGAAACAAAAATAAGTTATTGAGTCTGGACTTAAACAGGGACCAGGGAGTTCATACCTGGCAGCCTCTTAGCAGTGCCCTAGCTTATTACAGCCCAATTCAGACCTTATTGGGTTACCCCGTGTACTTATACATCTCCTACGTTCCTCCTACAAAGTCCCGTCACAAAGGAGAAACAAACAGATATTCATAATAAAGGCTTTTGGGTTAGATCGCGTAAGTATAAATGTGTCATAACCTTCCACCACTCGACACAGCCAGTAAGGTTTGTCACGTAAACAACGCGCCAATTAGTTACTGCTTCAGCCCACGGGTGTGTTGGAGAGTAAATCCACAACATCTCCAACACACCGGTGGGCTAAAGCAGTAACTAATTGCCGAGTTGTTTACGTGACAAACATTACTGGCTGTGTCGGGTGGTGGGTTGCGACACATTTATACTTACACGATCTAACCCAAAATCTTTTATTATTAATATTGTTCGCGAAAGCCTATGTGTTAAATTGACAATTTATTTTTGCCCGCATGGGCCTGAAAACTCAATTTCCCTGCTCAAGAATACGGGTAAAGCGTATGGCTTGACACGGTATGGGGAGTTGGCAGCACTGAATGCAGGGAGGGGTCCAATGGAGTTCCACCAAAGCATAAGGCCAGCAGAGGAGAATGAGCGACCTCGCACTGAGCAACGGTGGACTGATTCGACGGAAAGCCTCGGTTGCCGAAGCAAAGGCGGCGCGGAGTGAGAGGACAGGGGGGAGAGGTGGGACAGTGGGTGGTGAAGAGTAGAGTGTGATGGGAGAGGAGAGTGCGTTGAGGGAAGTGGAGTGAGATGAGAGGGGAGAGGTAGGATAGTGTGGAGGAGAGTGAGATGAGAGGGGAGAGGTAGGGTAGTGTGTGGGGGAGAGTGAGATGAGAGGTAGTGTTTGGAAGAGAGTGACGTGAGAGGGGAGAGGTAGGATAGTGTGTGGAGGAGAGTGGGGTGAGAGGGGAGAGGTAGGATAGTGCCTGGAGGAGAATGAGATGAGAGGGGAGAGGTAGGATAGTGTGTGGAGGAGAGTGAGATGAGAGGTAGGAGCGAGTGTGTTGAGAGTGGAATGAGAGGGGAGAGGTAGGATAGTGCGTTGGAAGCGAGTAGAGTGAAATGAGAGAAGTAGGAGAGTGCGTGGAGGAGAGTGGGTTACGGTGGGAGAGCTATCTGCTGTTGCAAGAATAAAAAAGTATCGCGAAGAGGCACTTCTGTTTCTGCTGAGGATTTACTGTAACTGTTGCTCCTGCTTCTGAAGCGGACGGACGTTACTCTCTGTAGTCGGCTAGGTGGGAAAGTCCTCCTCCATACTGTGAAATAGAGGTCACTTGAATGGGACTTCAGAAGTCATCCTGCAATCTCTGCTTCTGTGGGCCGTCCTTAGACACTAAGAGTCACAGCGACCTGTGAGAGATGCAACTGCATACTTGGTGTCGTGGCATGATGCCGATGGCAAAATCAGAAGAACTTTTTGAAAATACAGTAATACTTTTTATTATGAAGCCATTGGAAAAACTCTTAAAAGGTCTTCGTGAAATGCATACGATGACATCTGTAGGCATAGACTCGTCACCGCTATAAAAACGTGGAATTTCAACCAGTGGCTCATGACCTCAAACTAGGGCGAGTCTATTCCCTTGGCAACCACGCTCGACTTAATATAAAGTGGTACAAATTTGATCAACCGTGAAAAGGCTTTTATGCAGGTTGACCTTCGAACGTGTGATTGAAATGCTCTCGCCACAGCTTCGCCTATAGATAGGCTTGTAACGATGCATTGATTTGTCAACTGAAGTCGATGATTGCGTTCATGATCCAGCATTTGAGTCGTGCGTGTCAATCATTTGCGAGAAGGGGGGCACGAGAACACAGCGCAGATCATGACACATCCCCGGGTCTTTCTGAACAGGAGAGCTGTTGTATACCGGCACCGACCCGTGTAGGATTAGATTTGTTATATACCAGGCTAATGGTACAAACGTAACTGTTTAAATGAGACGGTAAAAGCGTGACGAACAAGTCAATATTTTAATCGAGTCACCATGCCAAATCGTGGCAATTTGCGGAATCACTGCAAGTGGGAGGAGGAAGGTGGGGGGGTGTGTGAATCGATATGCGCTTAATGATCGATGTGGTCAGTGTACGGTTGATCGATTTGAGGTCAGCGTGTAGTTGACGTTTGGTCGGCTGTTTATAGGACATGCAGCCGTTGTCCCTACGTGCGTTGTCTGCGTGCGTGTCTTTTGTGTGTACGTGCATGTCTGCGTATTTATTCGTGTCTGCGTGTGTCTTAACGTATGTGTGTGCATGGCTGTGCATATCTGAATCTGTGTATTCATGTCTCCCATGTGTGCATGTGTCCTGCATGTGTGCATGCATGCCTATGTGCATGCGTAATGTCTGCGTCTGCATATGTCCATTCATGTCTATGGGTATGCGTGTATCTGTGTGTGTACATGTCTACATGTAAGCGTGTGTCTGTGCGTGCGCGCCTGTGCGCGTCTGTGTGTATCTGCATGTGGGGAGCGGTGGTGTAGCGGTTAGCGCGCTGCGCTACGAACCTGGCGACCCGAGTTAGATTCGCACTCACGACCAACATCATAGGCTTGCTAACAGTACTTATCCCAACAATCTGTTAATGCTATACAGGAGATCTTTGTCTTTTACTTGTGCATCTTTGTGTTTCCCACACTTCCGATTAGCACGGTTGTCTACTTACGGTGCGAAAGAAGTTCAACATATATCTGCCTATGCGCGTGTGTGTGTGTACGCGCGTGCGTGTAAGTGCGTATGTGTACGCGCGTGCGTCAATGTTCTCTCGCCCCCCTGCAGCGCTCATGGAGATGTCGCGGCTGCTCAACACGGGGTTGGACGCGGAGAGCCTGGCGGTGTGCGTGAGGCTGTGCGAGCAGGGAGTGAACCCCGAGGCGCTCGCCAGCGTCATCCGGGAATTGCGGCGCGAAGCTGAGGCACTGCGGGTCCGTGAGCAGCTCCACCGCATGGGGACGGTGGGGGGGGGGGGATGGTGTAGAGCAGTGGTTCTCAATCGGGGGTACGTGGAGCCCCTGGGGGTTACGTGGCAATGTCCCAGGGGGGGTACGTGAGGTGATTTATAAATGTGTGAAATTATATCATACGAGTCATTGGTAAACAATCACGTGTGAATCTGCCAATTTCAAATAACTACGGTAACATTAAAATCCATATTGTAACAGAGAACGCAATAAAGACCTTTCTAAACTCATTGATCGTAAAGAATGTGGTTTCCAGGAGTAACCAGCGAGCGCAAACAAATTACGTCGCGCATGCAGAGCATCCGTTGATTTTTTAAAAAAATTAAATTTTTTATTCGCTTGCAGTTACAAGCTAGTTAGGATACCTCACAAAATGGACAATTTGTTAAAATATTGACAATCATTATTCGTACATTTATTTATCAGAACCATGTTGGGTCATGCAAAGGGGGTATTCGGTTAAAACTAAATTCAACAAGGGGTACGGGAGCAAAAAAAAAGACGAGCCGCTGGTGTAGACGCAACGGGGCAGGGCATGTGAACTGAACTTTTCACCTCAAAGCGGATGCTTAGGGGGGGGGGCGGGGGGGCGGTAGGTTAGTGCAGAGGTAACACTGGTGACTCCACAGCAATTAGGGCCTGCGTTTGATTCCGACTCAGGTGCCTTTCTGCGTTGAGTTTGTATGTTCCTCCAGTGGTCTGCATTGGGTTTCCTCCGGGTTTTCCGGTTTCCTGCCGTAGCTAAAAAAAGACATACAATGTAACGAGTACATATATAGATTTCAGGTTTCCGCAGCCTTGCTTAAAATAAAACGTTCAACTTGATTCATATCCGAATAAAGTAAAAAAAAATGTTATTGCAACTGATGTTGGACAAACATCCTAACTCAATTGGGATTACACAAAGCAACATCGTCCCCGACTACACAAAAACTTTGCAGGATCCTCCTGAAAAAGAGTCTTGAGACTCTTATTAGGCTGTGAATATTTGATTATTGCCTTCGACCACATCATCCGGAATGGACACCCAACAAAGAACATTTAAAAGCTGAAAAGTGTGAAAATAGAGTACGGAAGGGGTGCACATTTGTAATCACATTGAGAGATGGAGGAACTCGCGCATTAGGAGGCACACGTAAGTTTGGATCATTGTATTGACCATTGTGGAGATGCAGCGATGAAATCCACTGTTATGCAAGTGGTAGACGACTGCTTGTTACTTTGCAAGAAATGGTGACGGATTGGGGAGGCCGTCGTCAAAATGTTGTTCCTTTTTTCCCCCGCTTATTCTGTCAATGTATGTATTTCCAATCTCATTTCACTCCTCAGGGCCACTTATATTGATCATTGCAGACACCACCTGCCCATGTGCCTGTCCAGGAATCGAACTGGGTTTCCCTGAATTGTTAGGCAGCACATGGATCACTGCAACACCCACCACTCCGCTTTACTATAAGCTGTGCCGCCCTCACTCCATATCCCACCTCGCCGCAGTAAATGAACGATAAATCATTCTTGTAATCATCGACTGTGGTCAATCCACTGCTGGACTAAGGTATCCCCAAGTTGTTGCCACCTCCCGTGATCCTTTGATGTAACAATCCAGCTTGCTCTGGCACACAGACGTCTTGATTTCATCGCTCTGTCTCCTCGGCGTCTTCTCAGATCAACGCTGCCCGATAATCCTCGGTGTGCGAACATGCATCAATTTAGATTGGAGCCCACTCCACCGCTTCTACGAATAATAACGATAAAAATAAAATAACCCCCACTCACCCTCTGTCTGCGTTAACCTCCAGGGGTCGCTTCCACTACAGCGAGAATGACCACTTCATTATAAATTATGACGCTTGTAATTGGTTTATCCGTGCATTGATTTCTACTGTACATGCAGTCCACGCAGCACTAAATTGCATCAATTGCTGATTACGGGGAAAAAATAAAAACTGCGGGGAGAGGGGAAAAAAACAAGGACATTAGCATTCACTTGGTGCAGCTTGGCATTGGCCATTGCCCCTGGGGATGTCGGGTGGAGCTTTAGGCTTTGAGTAGCCTTCCTTCCCTTCATTTTATAAATTCTGTCCCCCCCGATGTAATCCAGATTGTGCTATCACCGTCGCGTTGTCATGAGACGCAGAATTCATTGGGTTCTCTCGCAAAGCAGTGTGACCCTTCATATTAGAGAATGGCCCACGCAAGTGGATATTGAAGAGCTCCCTCCGAGATTACTTCACGTGACCTCTGGGGCTCACAGTAGAGGGCAACACTTTCTCACCCACCCCCCCCCAGCCACCGATGTTTTTCACATGACAGTCAAACCTAGATTTTAAATTCTCGGAGCTAATGTAGTCATTGGTGAAACAGAGCTGATTCCATCAACTCACCACACTTCAGAATCTAGTTTCATCGGAAGCGGCCGAAACCCACATTCCAACCCAGGATTTCATCGTTGCTGGCTCAGCACCCTGTCTATGAACCCACTGGGCCACCTCATTTTCTTTACCTTCCTACAGGATTGTTCATCTTCCGTCTTCTGCTTGTCGAACGACTACCGCTTGTAATCGTATCACGGGCACGTTTGGTATTCGCGTAATTTCGCTTTAGCGCAAGGAAGGTGCTAATGTTTCACAGACGAGTATAGTTTCACTCGAGGGGGAGATGTTGCCACGTGGCAATTAGACAATTTGTGAGTACATCTTTCAAATTCAGACACCTGCTCACGTTACCTGCTCCTTGTAAAATAACGTCGCCGGATGTTTTAACGTCCACTGCGAGTCGTGCGTCGCGTTTTTTCCGGTTAACGCCCACCGCAGTATTAATCGGGGCAGCCGCCGGGCTCTTGGGCCCTATCGCCGCTTTGGTTTTTAAAGCCCCTTTGGTGTGGGTGTGACGTGACCCACAGGCCGCGGAGAACGCCGTGGGCGGGAGGCCCGGGTGAAAATCACCGCAGCGAGAAAACCCCAGGGGGAACTTGACGGTGCCTGCTCCATTTCACCCCCACCCGTCGATCGCGATGAATCCATGACCTCTACACACAAGACGCTGCGTGCACGTTGTGTTGCGGGTTGCTTCAAACTCCAGTCCCCTCGTGACCCACCACAGTTCCTTGTTCAGCGGTCTTCGCTGTTCAAACGCAACCCTAGGCCCTTACATGCTGCACGAGCCCGATAATTGATAAACGGTAGTCACCACGTAACGTAGAGAGCGCTTCTTAATCGGCATGCCTCATTTTGATAGGCACGACCAAATATCTTCTACATAGCCTGTAACAAACTGCTATTCGTGAGCACTTGTGAAGACTGGCACGGCACGCGAGGAGATGGGTGGCCAGTACCAAGCCCGATCACTTTGGCCTCCCCTGGGCTGATATCATCCTGCACTAGGTACTAATTTAAGGCTGAGTCAAACTAAAGGAGGCCCAGGATCTTTTGAGATATAATGTGGAACACATGTATACACACACACACTTGAGATCTCGCTCTTATTTTCAATAAGTTCTAAACAGAATGTGACGGACACGTACACACCTCTGATTTTAGATTGTCAGTCTCTACGTGACGTGTGACAACAAGAACGACAACAGTCGTCACTTGCCACGAAGGGACGGCTCACTGGCAGGAAGTAACACGGGACAGACCCAGGTGTTATGGGTTATCCGACTGATATGCCTAGCACCTTAACTCCCCACGCCGTTCCCGACCTGTCGTGTGACGCACAGATCTTAATTTGAACGGGCTCTCTTGCGCGTCACACAATGCATTTTCTCAGTCATCGGGCTCCTTCGTGCAGCTCATAACCTCTCGGAATTTTGTTGCAACGGTGCGACACCGGTACACTTGCAAAGAAGTGCCATGGTGAGTCGCGGGGACTGGTAGTTTCGGAGGGGTGAGGGGGGGGGGAACGCTGGACTCTGTGATTTCCATAGTACACTTTGAGCACAGCTTGCATAAATCCTGCACGTTCACTCCCTTGCACACACGGCGGCGGCATCAGCAGCAGCAGCAGCTGTTCCATGCCCGTGACAGCCTGGGAGGGAGTCGCCCACCTTTTGTCGTGCTGCTCTCGCTGGCAATTTACTCCCTAACAATGTCACCCGCGAGTACGTTCCGCGATGGGTTTTGATGTCGCGTGTTTGTAAATAAAAGCCCGTTTCTACTTACGCGGTCATTTGCAAATGTTTTTTATGTATAATTTTTCGCCGTAATTATATTTTAATTGCACCGCCGCGGTCGCGTGCCTAGGTGACAATCTTTGTTCGGAACTCTTCCCAGCGAGCAATGCACCCCCTCTCCCCTCCCCCCGGTGTGCACAGCCTTGGAAGATGGATGCCTCAGAGCGAACTGTTTCTGACTTCACTGAAATTGGCCTCTCGGTCCGCACCAGGAATCGTCATCAGCCATGATCACTCCACTGCTGCATGATGGCCTCACCCCCATGCAGTCCGCTGTCTCTGGCAGTTCTTGCGACGGAACAGTCCGTCGAGCACCTGCACCACGAGCAGATCTGACCGAGAGATGGTGATGGGTTGGGGGACACCATGCAGCAGTGGATCGATCATGGCTGATGGTGAGTGGTGGTGTTATGGCACGTCGATTCAACGGGTAATCGATGTTTTTACTCACGACGATTGTGTGCAACAATAGATTTTTTTATTTGGATGTTAGATATGGTTTCAGATGACCCCCCCCCCCCCACTGCTTGAGACCGCTATACTCGTGTATTTTTTACATCGCTTATTGAATCGACCCTGAATCACAACAATGAATTGAATCCTCGCAGGAGTTTGTTATAAGTGTCTGTTGTTGAAACATTTGGATTTACCCTTATAATCATATTTTAAAGGTACCCAATGGTCATCAGATTTCACAAGCTAAGCATGGCCGGGCCTGCATATTGCTTGGATGGGCGACTGCCATGCGTTGCAGGTGGTTCGGCTACTGGGCTACGTTTTGGCAGCAGAGAGGACAGCATACAACTCCATTTAACGTCTATGCCCCCCTCCACGTCCCCCCCACCTTTAACCCACACTGACGTGGTGAAATAAGGTCAAACAACCCCACATGACCCGGCACATGGAGACTGAGACAATGATTCTCTGACCTGCAGTGAGCCACCATGTGCCACTAGGGGGCGGACTCCACTAGTCTCGGAGCGGCCTCGGAGAACTGCGGCGATGGATTTAGTTTCAATGGCCAGGCAACGGCACTCGTCTTCTTGGTTCTTTCGGTAAAGTCACGTAGAAGGGAAATAATAAAATAATACAAATTAAACATAATAAAATAATTCTCACGACATTTCGGCCACAACGCAAGCAGCCGTCCTCAGGTGAAGACCAGGTCTGTTCAGACGCTGTCTCCCCGACAGACCTGGTCTTCACCTGAGGACGACTGCTTGCGTTGTGACCGAAACGTCGTGAGAATTATTTTATTATGTTTTATTTTTATAATTATATTATTTCCCTTCTACGTGACTTTACCGAAAGAACCAAGAAGATGAATCCCTGCAGTCACGAAAGCTTTAAATCGAAATTCAACGGCACTCGGTTTGGGGGCAGAGATGAATCAATGACTTGGCTGGAAAGTTTGCCAAGACTCAAGCCTCGCTGAGTCTCAAGACTTTATATTTCCGCTGCTGCATGGAGGGGCGATGTGGTCACGTATAATGGTCACTACAACGAATGCCATTTTTTTAAATAAGTCGACTCAATCTTTATTTGATGTGCCAATACCGCCCTAAATAAAGTATCAGTGCACATTACAGCAGAACGGGAACGGTACAGGGACCTAGAGCAACAGGACAGCCGACTGTCCTGTGAATGACACTCGTCATAGGAATGTGGAATTTCCATCAACGGCTCATTGGTGTGTGAGAGCCCATTGAGACACCGGTGTATGTTTCTGTCTTCGCGGCTAAAAGAGGGGACGTGTGGATTACATAATAATCACAAGTTAGAGACGGCATGTTGACTGCCGGGACGAGTAAGGGGCCGTCCATAAATGACGTCACGCGGTTTTGGACGATTTTTGACCCCCCCCCCCCCTCGTCACACGGCGTCACAAAAAGTCAGACCCCCCCCTCAAATATGACGTCACGAAGCTCTGCCCCCCCTCCCAAATAAAACATGCTTCAAATCGCTTTAAAATATTGTCATTGTAGTGCGTATTTAATGTGGCGCTGCACTCTGATGTTGTAGGAGAAACATTTATTAAAAAGTCTAATTAAGTAGAACGTGTTTATATTTATTGAAAGTTGCGCATTTTTAGGTGACGTCACATTTCTCAACCCCCCCCCCCCTCGTCACACATCGTCACAAACGTCTGACCCCCCCCCCAGGTGCGTGACGTCATTTATGGACAGCCTCTAAGTCAGAATCAGAATCTGTATTTATCCTGGAGGAATCCGATGATCTATGATGTTCTTTTTCACAGATGTCCAGCGTCATCAGCAGCAGCATCGGCGTCATCATCATAATCATCATAATCACCATGTGTACGGATGCCTACTTTGTTGAAGGCGATATTGGTAGAATAAAATAAAGATTGAATGATTGGCCATGCCAATCATCATCAACAACAGTAGCATCATCACGACAATCATCAGCAGCAGCAGGGGAGCATTTCAAGTGGGGAGCACATTGGCGTTGGAAGTGATGACGGCCCGCGGTCGAGACTAACAAAGGAGTGGCAGCCAAAGGATGGAGGTGGTCACACTGCCGTGCAGTGGGCTTGAGCAGGGACGAGAGGAATAACGGAGTGACAGCCAACACAGGAGGTGACGTGCCCAGAGAGGACGTCCATCGCAGAGACGCAGTGGGATCTGAGGATGGAATTGCGCATTCGACATTTAAATCATTATTAGTGATCTCGTACAAAGGATGGGCCGTGATTCATATCCTTAGGTTTTTTTTTCGGTAAAGTCACGTAGGTAAAAACATTAAAAAATAAAATAAAAAATAAAAAATCACGACGTTTCGGAGGCAACACAAGCTTCCGTCTTCAGGTGGTACCGTCACAGCCACGACAGCTGTATCAAGTAAATGAGAGATCTCAGGAGTTACCACTCCGGTTATATAATGGTTGGAGAAGGTGGTGGGGCATGGGCCGCATCTTTATTGTTATTTTTTATTTTATTTTACTTTTATTTTATTTTACTTTTTAATGTTTTTACCTACGTGACTTTACCGAAAAAAAACCTAAGGATATGAATCATTGCAGTCACGAAAGCTTCAAATCTAGAATAGATGGGCCGTGAGTCGCACCGTCGGACCGGGAGACAGTTGGCAACGTCTTGGGGGAGGCCTTCATTCAGCAGTGGATAGATCACGTCTGACGATGGTTGCGATGGTGCCGTAAAGGATAAGCATGGAGGAGGAGACGTGTGGGTGAATGTGCCGTGTTCGCCAGATTACAAAGCACGCGCAGCAAACGTGCGCCCGGTGTCAAAGCAGCTCTACAAATGTGATCACGCGCACACTTATCGGATTATAAGACGCACCACCCCCACCCCTCCCCAACATTTTGTTCAAAATACAGGGGAGGGGGTGAGGAGGAGGGGGCCTATGGAAGTACCTCTCTTATAATGGGGGGGGGGGGGGGGGGATGGAATGTGGGCTGCTGATGATGAGGCGCTGGAGGGAGGGGACGAGATGGATGCGAGTCGGGGTGGTCTCGCATCTCATTGCTTCGCCTCTTATCGGCCACTTTGACAGCCGAGAGCCGTGATGTCAGTAGGGGTGGGGGTCGTGGCGGGGGGTGACGGTGGGGAGAGGGGGGGTGCACCCCTGTAGCGTCAGGGGGATGAATGAGGATGACTCCCCCCCCCCTTGTTTTTTTAAGGCTTGCCCCCCCCCCTCCCCCCCTTCTGAATTCTTATCGTAAAGTGAAAACTATTAGTAGATTTAAACTAAACAGTTTTTGTTTTACTTTCCCAGGTAAAGCCCACTGAGATATGTAGCAGTTTTGTTTTGTTTCCTTCCAGAAGCGACCCAGCCACAAATGATCGCGCAACGAAGTGGCTTTCATCAAGTGGACATTCATAGCGGCCACGATACTCTTCAACGCACGTGTCTAAATGTATCGGAGGGCAACATCGGAGGTCCTGAATGAGTCACCCTCATAAAGAGGGAGGAGTCTGGTGCTCGCAAGGGGCGGGGCTAGTGGCGGAGTGGGCGTGGCTATGTATTAAGTGGGCGTGGTTTAGGGAGCGAGGGGAGGGGCTGCCGGCTCAACTCTGGCTGTCGCCTGATGATGCTGGTTGTCATTACCGGCGAAACGTCGTACTCGAATTGTAAATGTCGTGGGTTTACGTGACAAACATTACTAATTGGCTGTCGGGTGGTGGCGGGTTTAACGACACACTTACGTTTACGCGATCTCACCCAAAACACCTATTATGGATATTGGTCGCGAATGCGAATGCGACCAATATCCATAATAGGTGTTTTGGGTTAGATCGCGTAAACGTAATGTCCTGGGTTGAGCTTCGCTGTAATGTCCTGGGTTGAGCTTCGCTGAAATGGTGCAGCAGGTACCCGCATCTGTGGTGCATCGGCCAGTCATCTCAGTCGACCCATGGCACCACCTGGGTCTGTCCCGTGACCTCCTGCCAGCGGGCGTTCGACACTTCGCGTGGCCTTAACGTGCACATGGCCTGGCACAAACGCCGTGGTGGCGTCACCGCCACTTAGTGGCAAGTGGCGGTTGTTGTTGTTGGTCTTGTTGGTGGTTTGCGCATTGCACCACGAGCTCGAGTTTTATTCCCAGGCCACGGCTATAAACGTCAGCGGCGTGTGAAATCCGAACTGGTCCTGGGCCTCTCCTCCTTTCATCAACCCTCACTGACCAGCGTGGTGAAGTACGGTCAAACAAATCCACATTACTGACACAGAGTGGGAAGGACTTCGTCTGTGAATTATTATTATTAATTTAACCTCTCGGTGAAGCGGATGTGTGGTGATGCACACCTGTGATCCAACGCGTCGGAGGCAAGTGTTGGTGGATCACGTAGAGATGCCATATAACAGTAAAGAGACAGCAAGCTGCTAAACCATCTGTGTAGCCCACATTTCAAAAGTCATGTCCTCTCTCTGTACGCATGGCGACTTTGCTGCGTGTACTCCAGTTCGCCTGCCACGTGGAGCCAAAATACTAAACTAAAAATG